GGGGGTCCGGCTGGCACCTCCGGCGGGACGGCGGGCAGCGGGGGGCCCGCCGCGGTGTCGGCGGCCGGGCTCCGTGTCCTTCCCCCGCGGCCTGCAGGCCCCGGCCCTGCCCCTCCCGCCGGTGCTCCATCCCTGCATCCCGTGTTTTATACCGCCGCCGCCCCACTGGTAATGCCATTTCACGCGCTGTTAAAAAACGCTTCCTCAGCCAGAAAACCATTTCTCCCCCTGTGCATAGCAGAGGCTGGGCTTTTGCCGCGATCTGGAGGAGAGAGGCTGGTCGGTCCGTGACTTCTGACCATGAAAAAATGCAGCGTTGGGGACCGCAGTGACAAACCCTAGCGCGGGCAGGACAGCCCTGCCCGGGGTAGCCAGGCTGTGGGGAACAGGGGGAAAAGGCATCCTTTTTCTGTATAGACCAGTACGAAACGGATGACTAATGCCTGGAAAGTAATAAAGGCAGAAGCATGAGGGGATTTTGATATTTTCTACTTGCTCTGTTTTCATCCCTAGGTTTGCTCTGGCATCTCCCCCGCGAGCACAGCATTGCGCCTCACGGGGAGGCAGGTTCACCTCCGGGGTGCGCGGTGCTCTCCCGAAATGCTGCCTGCAGGACGGCAGCCTGGCTGAGCCCACCAACCCCAAACCGCCCAGGAACGCCAGGCCCTTCCTTCGCTAGGTCTGTACCCAGAGGAGGAGAGCTGGGTCCAGAAGTGGCTGCAGCAGAAGGTGACGCCTCGTGGTGTGGTGACAGGCGCTCTGCTGGGTGCTCCCTTCAGTGGCCCTTCCTGGGGCTGGGTACCCTGCTGACACGTTGTGCCCCTGGAGCTTGGGATACACACATATCCCAGGTCTTTGGCTGCAGGCACTGATATCAACCTCAGTTTGCAGTAACAAGTCATTTTTAACTGTTGTGGTTCCAAAGAAACATTTGAATACATGAATAAATTTATTAAATGCTAAGATAACTGTTTGAGTGTCCGGACAGCTTTTATAGGAAAAGAAGTGATTGATAACAGAAACAAGAAAGAAACCTTTGTGGCTTCAACTATAAGCAAGACAGTTCTCAGCTTCATTCTGCAGCTTGCAAGCTACACCCCTCCCATTTCATACCTGCCTTCTTCAGAAATGAATACGATGAATATCATGTGTAGTACTCACATACACCACACAGCTCTCCTTCCCTCAAAGGAAGATACACAGTCCTGCGTGTACCCATCCACTCTCTGCATTGTGTACAAGTCCACAGAATCACAAAATCTTCATGGTTGGAAGGGACCTCTGGGATCACCAAGTCCAACCACACACACACACACACACAAAAGACGCCCACAATCCCGGCACTAGAGCATGCCCTGAAGTGCCACGTCTACACCTTTCTGAAATCCCTCCAGGGATGGTGACTCCACCACCTCCCTGGGCAGGCCCTTCCAGGGCCTGACCACCCTCTCTCTCAGTAAAGTCATTCTTCCTAATATCTAACCTAAACCTCCCCTGCCCCAGCTTCAGACCATTTCCTCTGCTCCTGTCATTATTCCCTTGGGACAAGAGGCCAACCCCCACCTCTCTACACCCTCCTTTCAGGGAGTTGTTTCAGGCACTTCATCCTGCATACAACTCCAAAACAACAGCAAAAATATAGCCTAGCTTAGAATGGAACTCTAATTTGGAAAATGCAATGACCATGTTGACATCCATAACATCCCGAGTGTCCCACTGGTAGGAACACAGGCCAGAAAGGCAGGACCCATAGGACATCTCAGCTCATTCACCCAGAGCCACCATGCGGCTGCCAGTCTTGGCCCTGGGTTTGATGCTTTTCATCCATCCACATACACACACTCCATTCCTCTCAGTGTTTTACTAACCCTTCCATGGTCTGCCTAAACGTTCATTTCTGTGAACGTTCTCAGTGGCTGGCTTGTGTCCAGGCCTACACTGGACGGAACAAGATTTCTTATCAAGCATTTGAGATGAATCATAATGACAGTGCTTACAGTGCTGAACAAACTGGATTACAGATTGTTTTTGCTTCGTGCCCAGATACTTCTGGCACTGAAGTTGTATGTATTCGAAGTTTTTAAGCTTATTAAAAAAAAGGACTAAAAATTAATTTTATTGTGGTTTAAGTCATTTTAAGTTCTGTTGCTTGTGTTTTGAATGACAAATTTATAAAGAACATGCCTAAATTGGGCAACTTAGTCTGTAAATTACAAGCTTAGGTCACACACCATTGTTGGCCGATTGTTCTAAAGATAATATTGCTCTCTGTGCACCTTCTCAGAAATGAACCCTCTAAAACTGGGATGAAAGCTATACCATGCAAGTTTCACTGCAGGGACTCTGCTGCCCTTGGCAAATGTCCATCCTCAAAAACCTGCAATCAACTGTGAAAATCTTTACTTAACAGTTTTCTGCCCAAAACAGGCTTATATAGTATTTTTATCACATCTTACTCTTTCATTGGTGATAAATAGCATTTGAGACAGCAAGGCTTTAATATCTTACTTCTGAGAGTATTAATTCACACATGTTAAATGTTAAGTCTTACAGATGCTAAGAAAGATGTTTAAAAAGTAGACTTGATGTAGAGAGGATTTCTGTTTTGACTGAGGACAAACTCTTTTGGTGTGAAGAGACATGCCAGTAAGCTCTATTTTTAAGGTAAATTTCATAAAGTGACAGGCCTGTGTAGTTGAACATGTAGGACACAGCTGTGCATTAGAAGATCAAGGTTCCGTATCGAGGTCTGCCATTAATCTCCTCTTGACTTTGCTGAGTGAATGGTTTCCTCTACCACTGTCTATCTGCTGTCTTAGAAATTAGGTTGCGAGCTCTTGAAGGACTGTTACCCAGTACAGGATGCACCTTTCATGCGCTGCAGTTGGGGTCTTCAGCCCCAGCCAACTGACATCCTTTCCTTGTAGAGGTTCTCCAAAGCCACCTGCGCTGTTTGTCAAATATGACACCAAGCTCTTTATAGTACAGAACTCAGAATCTTTCTAAGAATTAGTCTGTTGACTCCTGTCTTCCTTTTCATTCTTGTTTCCTTTTTTGGTCAGTAGGAAGGGGAAAAAGCAGCAGGGGCATAAAACCAGGAAAATGCAGAACTGTCCTGCCAGACCTGTGTTTGATCCCCACAGAAAAAAGGAAAGAACTGAGAAGTGTCTGGCAGTAGCCACGGACCTTAAACCTGTACAGTCAACACAGCTTCCAACATCTGGATTTACTTGTCTATACTATTAAAATACAGTGTTCAGGTCATTGGTGGTATGAATTTGAGGGGGACTTTCACACTGAACCTTATTACGGTAAAGAAATGAAGTCAGTCACAGTAGCCAGAACTTACACTCTTGTAGAGTACAAGGTACAGCTGGACAAAGGTGTAAGGTGAGGATCCCAGCTGCTAGCAGAGTATTCACACTCAGTAAAATCAGCACTGTGAGACAGAGAAACAGGGTGAGATTTAAAAAAAAAATTAAGAAAAGACAGACTTCAAGGACCAAAAAGTTACTGTTACATCAGGCATGGCACAAATATGTATTAAATATTTTGAATTTAAAGGTACCTAAATTCCATTTGGGAATCTGGGCAGACTATGTAACCGAATGCGAAAGCAGTGCGAATCCTGCCAGCTCCACTGACCTGCATCTGGACTTCTCTGAACTCAGAACAGTTTATGCTGCTGACCTCCAGTTAGGCAGGATTTCACCCCCCGTATTCTTTTCCTCTTTCCTCTTATGTTGGCATAAGCCTCTTTGGAAAAAAGTTACATATTTCCAAATGAAGGACTGCAAAGTGGGTCACCTGTTTTTTCTCATTTAAACAGTACTGCTTTCTCACACACACAACCAAACGGGAAGAGTGTCTCCACTTGGCAAACTTACTTGTGCCTACCAGTCTCACTTTTGCCAAACTTTTTGTTTGCTGTATGACAACTGGATTGAATATACGCAGATAGTACTGTAGTGTTCACTCTGTATTCCCAAAAAAAAATGGCGAATACCTTACAGAAGGATATGGGATAGAGCCTTCCAGTACATCTGAGTGAAATATCTGTTATCCAGCCATTGCAAAACAAACAAATTTATCTTTAGAATTTTTTTTTGAACTGGCATTCAAGTTCTACCTCTCAGAGATGTGACCAGAACATACATATATTACAAAGATAAGCAAGCTAAAATTTATTATGCATAAAGACAGAAGAAAAAGCCAAATACCTGACATAGATTTTTATTGATTTTTGTGTAAAACACAGTATATGGAAAAATAGATAAAAGCATTACTAATAATTTTTAATAGCCCTGTTCAGAGAGACAGCACAAACAAATTGACAAACACAAGTACAAAGAGAATATTGCACGTGGGAGACATACTATGCTCACTGCGAGACACTGCCAGCAAGGCGTGAGCAACAAACAGATAATGATAGAGATCGTTGTCCAAGTCATTTCAACGAGTCACTTATTTTAAAGGCTGTAATCTATTTAATTCAAGCAGTATCATATACTGATACAATATCAGTACTGCAACATTACTCATTACATTGATAGAAAATCCTACAGGATGAACAGCCAAGAAATAACAACCTTGTGTATTACGAGATGCACTGCCTGAAAGGAACTACGCGCACGCATCCATAACCACGGCATCTAGGAAAATACTATACTGAAAAACTCAATCTGTCTAATTTTTATACACCTGATACATCTAACTTTCAGAGCAAATCTTCACATTCAGAGGAAAGCTCTTTCCTAACTATATTCATATCTGTGAAATGTATAGCTTCTTGGGAATTCATTGCCTTATAACAATTAATCATTTCCCTTAGTGCTAGTTGGGCAGCATGTATACCTAATAACATATAGACACACAGACACACAGTATTTTATAGGCAATTAATGTCAAATAAAAATATAAATGTACTTTCTCGCGTTGGCACAGCATATAAAGCACAATATTGGAACAAAAAGTTAACCATGGCACCAATTCACAGTAACCATTATCACAAGCTAGTTATGCAAAGAACTTGTAAAATAATTACAAAATAATTAATCTCTAAATAATTCAAGAACGTAGGTATTAATTACCGTGCACATAGTTGCCAAAGTTAATAGAAATGTAAGGTAAAATTAATGGAACCTGTAATAGAACTGTACTTTAGACAATGTTAAGAAAGAATACCTTAATATCCATAGAAAACAAAAAAGCTGTTGCTAAATACAGAGGTCTCCATTTTCTAATATGATGTGTACAGTTCTGTGTTAAATATTAAGCACTACCTTTTTTTTCACCAAACAGTAATGAAGAGAAATGAAGTTTATTTCATTATTCATTTTTCATTAGGCAGTAATTTATATAAAGCTACACAAAAATATTTTATAGCAGGCTATTCCTCAAATATGTATTTATTCTACTAAGTAACTAAGACATCTAAATTAATTTAGTTGTTTATATTGAGGCAACTAAACTTGTAGCCTCAGGTCTTTTTCTGATGAGAAGTCCTAATGTGAGTTCTTGTATAGAATGAAACGTATGCATTATGTGATATCTAACGCGTAGCGAATGCGTGAGCGACACTTGACTTTCAGACTTAACAGTGTGCTGTTAGAGTGAGTTGGTCCTAAAAGAACACTACAAAATATTAAACCACAAGTCAACTTGTTATTCCAGTTAGAAGTAAATACATGGCCTAACGGGAAACCATATGTCCTTTTGTAGTACAAATATTTCACAAAATGTCTTCGTATATTTGATCTAAAAATATAAGCTATTTATTAATACTTTAATATTTCAACCTTTCAAGTAACTTATAAAATCAACACACATTTTTAATTTTCTACACACACAGTTTGAAAAAAGGAACAACACATCATTATTCTCTCTAGACACCTTTGGCAGTTCAAAATCTAACAGTTTAAACATTCTTGAAGGAATTTAATGATGAAATAACTTTTTTGCATAGGAGAGTGGCCAATACATTTCTGTATAAGCTGTCAGTGATTGCATTAGATACAATAATGTGGACTTTGACAGCAATTTTCCATTAGTACAGTATTTTATTTCTGTAACATTATCACTGTTGCATCAAATGAATTAGATAATTGTAAGGAATATGAATATTAATTAGGTATTCTACAGAAGTGTTGAATTACTATAAAATAAATGCAGCATATTTAATTTTGATCTATAATCAGATTGTCAACAGCAATGGTTTCTGCCCTAAATTTGTTCAGAGGTATGAAAATCTGCTCTCAGTTGAACCATCCCATTCTAGTAATTTTAATCAGGTTTTGTTTACAGGATTGGCATAGAATGTAGCATGGAATTTATCCCATTAAAATTCTCTAAGACTTTGTATATTCTAAGATTTTTAAAATTAATTTTATTTAAATGATTGAAGCACAAATGGCCAAGCTTTTGTGGTGTCCCTTTGCAATAACAGAATAGGAAACAGGCCAGGAAATTGTTACATATAATTCTGCAAAGCCTTTCAAAAAAATACACAGCTTTCTGTATTGGAATATATTTAACAGACAAAGTTAGAAGTTGCAATTGCCAATTGTTCTTCATTTTTACGTGAAAATCTCATTAGTATAGTGTATGCTCCCGTCTAACTCCAACAAAGACAGGTTTTCACTTAATGTTTGATAAAATAAAATTGTACTTGTGTATCCCCTCAAATATCACGAAAACATCTACATATGGGAGGAGAGACAATAAAATTAGTACCTTGAAACTGACTGACTTGTTTTTGGAAAAAAGAGAGAATGCAAACTTTTCTTAAAAATTTGATAGATTTATGAAACTTTTTTTCCCCTTCTGTCTTTCCTTTTCCTGTAAAAAGCTGGAAATCTTTCACATTTCTAAAAAAGTTCAATAACTTTTTAGAGGAAGTAGGTATTAAATAGGATAGTTCAGAGGCAGCACCAGTCTCAAATAAGTCCTAAATTACTGATTTTCAAGAGGCTGAGAGATTATGTCAGAAGAAGAATCACTGGACATATGCCAAGTCTCAAAGACCTTAGTCTGACCAATTATAGCTGTTATTATTGTTTACTTTTCAAAAAATGGTGAAATAAAATGAGTTTTCTTTCTCCAATTGCTTCTTCCCCTAGAAGCTTAAAAAGGAGGATAACACTGAGTTTTCCAACTATTTGAAATTGAAAATTTGTGAACTGAAAAAAATTCTCAATTTTCTGTTGAAACTGATGAAATATAGTTGAATATTTTTTTTTCAAGAAAATGTTTTCACAAATGTACATTTTCAAGGAGAACTCACTGACCTCTAATTCAATACAAAACAGTTTAAAGACACATAAGAGTTGCTTTCATTCTGGAAAAAAATCATACAAGTATTTGGGTTTTCATCTCTAGATTTGAATATGCTTAAAATGAAAGCAAGTTTAACTCTCTTTATTTGCAGCAAACCTGGAACGTACTGAGGCTTGATGAGTAATTTTAGAGAATATGTATACTACAATGAAATTAAAACTGTTGTAGATTTTTTGAATTTAAAATGAAATTAAGAACAACTAACATGAACTCTTTAGGTTTAGGTTGGGGTAACTGAGGGCAGAGTTTCGTTCTAGATTCTTCTTGTTCTGTGGAGCTGTTGGTTTCATTAAAAATAGAGATAATGAGATTTACAGGATGAGTGATGTTTAAGAATAAATTCAAGCTTAAGTAAGTACTGTGTATTTCTGATGTATCTTATCGATGACAAAATCTTCAAAGTAATAAATAATAAGTGAAGGTTCAGCTACGAAAATCAGAGATCCTAAACAGTGCAAATACAGATAAGAAAAACACGATTTCATACAAGTAAAGAAAATTAGGAACAAATACACATTCTGATTCACTGAAATAAAGGTTTTGCTAATTGGGACTAGCCTGAAGGTACGAGTTGAGTTTGGCTTATTTTTTTAGGGAAGAGTAGAACCTGAAAAAGCGGTAGTAATAAGTAACTGTGAACATTCTTTCGAATCCCACAGGAAATGCAAATGGCAAGTTTTAGAGATAAATTCATTTTTAAGTATAAGAATATTAATTTTGCGTGTCAAAAATTCAGGCATACCCCAGAGACACTTGTAAAAATAAGACTTTTATATAAAAATAGAAGATTGGATTTGCACAAGAAAAGTACTAAGAATTTAAGACAGACTCTGGGAAATTCACACATAATAACTGAAACTCCAGTGTAGGAACATATAGAACATGAGTATTGTGATGCTTCCTTGTTGTAACCATGTACTGGAAGTCTCAGTGAAAATGGATTTTTATTGTTGCAGATTTCTCCTTTTTTTTTTGTTTAAAATATTTTTTTATATTTTGAAGTAATTCTAAAATAAAAACCTAGTTGCTTGCACACGTAATCTGCAAGTCTTTCTAATGTGTAATACTTCTGAATTTTCATTATATAATGTATGGAAATAAAGATATGCCAAAGGTCTAAAATTCTATGCGATACTTTGAAAAAACCAACCCTGTTAGTACAATACTGTTTGCTTACAAGATGTACAATTATACCATTATTGAAACTGGTTTTGCATATTCAGATCATGGAATGGTGTAAAACCACACACGAATAAATATACTGTACATGTGCAATACATCATTACAAATTAATTTGCTTCAAAACCTGATTATTTCCTAAATCATTAAACCTATTAGTCTATATTCTGAACTCACTAACCCAGAAATATGGTTTTAATAAAAGAAACACTGCCCAGAAAATGTGGTGTTAATACACAGCACTCTGACACATACAGCATGATTATGATAAAATACTGTTGTGATATAACTGTGCAAAGGAGCATTAAAAAATTCTGATTTTGTAATCCTCTGCCCTCTGTAATTCAAAACAAAATCATTTTTGTAGTTATCTGAAGTAGTAGTCTTCTAGTTATAAATTCCTCATAGTTTGGTTGAGAGCTTGTACTATATGCCAAGCAAGTCCACAGTGACTTTACTAAACTCCTAAAAATACAAGTTTATGACAAACATCTATAACAGTGCTGACAAATATTAGTCTATCATCACATCACAGTTATCCTTTCCGGGGAGAGATGTGGAACAGACCCACCTGCTTCTTCTATAACATGGCTTTTCTCCCATCCTCTTCGAATTCTCCTCAGTTTCCTACTTACACACGGCAAAAGTAAAATGATCTTACCGAGAATTACAATGGAAGGCAGAACAAGGGCAAGGACAAAATTTGGTGGTGTATAAAATCTGTAATACTCTTCTTCAAAAGCTCTCTTCCATCCATAAATCAGTACATGGAAAGTACTTATGAGCAGAGCAACGTATCCAAGTGTAGACTTTGAAAAAAGAGAAAATGGAAAAAAGAAGAGATAATAATACTTGGTCCTTCATCTGACAGCTCTAACCCATTCTTTTAACATTTCTATTAGAGATCATATCAAAATCTCTTACCAATAATTTACACTATTGTAAATTAGCAATATGTGATTTTAAGTTCACATGTTCTGATAACTACAGACTGAACTGAACACTGATATTCAACATATCTCTTCTGCTAGCGTCTACAGGTCTTAGTCAAAGCTGAAATGAAGATAATGTTTGCCCAAATTCTTAGTAATGGAAGTCAAGGATATGTATGCGAATAGGGAGCAATCCCAGTGAAGTAACTGGAACAACATCAGTTGTGAGTGGAAATTAAGTTCCCTGTTTCTTAACTATGAGGGTAGATCACTTCCAACGTCTCATGGAAGAGATCTGGGTCTAATACTCCGTATTTTTATCACTCTGGTAGGTGGAGTTTACTTCTGCCTCACAACAGTGAACATCCACCTGTCTGAAGTTACCATAAACCATCCCTTAACTTTCTCTGTCAGCTCTTGCCTACTGGTTAATGGGAATATCTGGACTGCAGGACTTGGGCACAACAAGGCAACAATGCAGTTTATGATAAACAGGTAGTGCTGGATGAAACATGAAGCAGGAGCTTCCTACAGCACTCTGCAGAGGACCTCCTGCTGCGTCATCTAGAGGATGGCACAGAAGGAAGTGCTAACAGGTAATTTCTGTGAATCTACCCTGTATTTCTATTGCTCTGCAGACTTGAGTTAAATGTATTAACCTTGACTTTCCCAAACCATGGTAAAAACCAGATTACTATGCTTTGAATTTTGATGGGGATAAAATGAAGAAAAACTGGGTTTGGCCAAAACTGATGTAATGAATAATTTGGTTGGGAAATATTTGTAGAAAATCATCAAAACAGAGAATGAATATTGGTTACCAAGTTTTGGTTTAATTCCAGTAAACAGAGAGACAAAGAAAAATGCTTAGGCTAAGGTACTGTAATAGTTGGTGAAAGAATTAATTCTTTCTACTTCAAGATTAACCGGTTTCTAGGGAAAGGAGAATGTCTGAGAAAATGCCATTTTCAAGGATTCACAGATATAATGGTATAAAAAGAAAATACTTTTGTTAATTTCTAGAGTTGGTACCATGTTTTTTAACTGGTCAATATTTATGTATTTTTTTGCCAATGGTTTCAGAGCCAAACCGGTATCTTTTAGATGTGCTGCACCCTTTTTTTGAAAAGAACAATTTGCTCCAAAAATATCTCATAAGAAACAGAACAATCAGACGACTACCTGTGGATACGAAAATGGCATATGCAGCATCTGAACGGAAGTTCTGGTAAGAAATCTGGGCAGCAAAACAATACTATAAAATCTGATGTTTGAATATGTTATTGCAGATTTTTGCCAGTACGACTTTCCTGAATTCACTGCTCTTATATCACTGCCAGCAGAGAAAAGGCACAAGTGAATCACATCCCCCATTTCCTCATCAGGCTTACTTCTGAGAACTATAACAACTCTTGAAAAAGAAACAAGAGGGAAATGTTATATAGACTCTTCCCAGATTTTTCAAAAAAAGTTTTTAATGCTTATTTAAATTCCATCTGCAAACAACAGTTTTGAGACAATTATGTATGTCTTTCATTTTAATGGTTAAAGTAGAAGCTAAGAAATACATTTATCAGTACATTTAGAACTAATAGCACAAGGACATTAAAAACATATGATGTACCTCTATTAAGGTGGATGGTTTTTTGCCTAGTGAAAAGTTGCCATATGCTTCTTTGAAGTGTTGGTAGTGTGTGTGCCGGTATGTACTGGACCATTTAAACCACTCCTCTAAAAATCTGACAACAACGACACTCCGATAGGACCTTCTGTTAGCTACTGATGGTATTTTCTTCTACCAGACCCTTATTTGCTGTATTTCGGTGCTGTACTTCTGACAGTAATAACGTCACTTAGCTAGAAAGAGGATTTCCCCCACACAACTTAGCATTCTACAGTCTGTGGCTTGTTTAGTCAAGGCAGATCTGTACTAGAAAATTCAATTAAGAGCATTTATCCCAGCTTGCAGATACTGTCAATGACTTTTCCAGAAGTACGAGAAAGGCTGGCTGCCTTTTCCAGTTCAGTAAAACCCCACTGCTGGAGGCTGTGCCAGTACAAAACTTCTGTGTTTGTTTCAAAGACTCGATTTTTCTGTATCTGAAAATGTTCAAAGACTACATTAATGGCTGCACAGTAGCAAAATGAGGAAACTCAGAACTGACTGAAGCAGGGTTGGACAAAAAGACATCAGCTAGCGCAGGAAAAGGCACTGTTGGGCAGGTGAACAGTAAAAATAAAATCAGTTGGTAGCACTGGATCATACCAGTCTGCCATCAGCCAGTGGTAGTATCAGAAACTCATATTCCAAAGTTGACCACCCCTATGGATGTCAACATGAAAGATGTTTCAATTATTAAGAAATAAGTTATAATTGTGCTGTGGGAGTTATTAATTGCTGGAAAGCAATCTGTTTAATATTGGAAAGGTAAGAGAGGTGCTATCATTCAGGTATGCAAGGTTATTTTCTTGTGCACAAGTTTATGACTAGACTACGTGGATGATGGAATACAGAAATTAAAGACAACAGGTTTCCTGAAATGTAGTGGTGCTTCAGATGTATTATACATATTGCATTTCTGTCATCCTTTCCTGGCTTCTTAGGACACAAAAAGAAAGGGATGAATACTTCTACAAGAGCTGGAAGATCACTTACACCGATGTTACCACAGGGAAGCCAGGAGAGGCACAGGATGCTAACTTCTTTAAGAACAAAGGCCTTTTGAAAGCAGCAAGAAGGGATATTTTTCCTTCACTGGTAAATTCACATTGGTGAGTGAGTAGCAATATCAGTTGTAAGTCTTGGGAACCCTCTGACTAGGCTCTAGGATGGCTGCCTGGAAAAGGGAAAGAACGTCTTTGGTTGCTTTGCCTCCTTATCTTCCGTAATACTGTGTTTCCTGGAAGCTGAGTCACAGATTAGCACATTTCCTATGGACTCTCCAATCTTTTAGCATTTCTCTAAGTCTCCCCTGTTTTGTTTCTTTTCCTTCCTGATCAAAGCCAGCTTTTTAGCCAATGTGGGAGATTACCAGACAAGGCCACTGATAAACTGGACAAACTGGCATTGTTTGGGGTAAAGAAAAAAAAAAAGTGTTAGGGGAGTGGAAAAGATGCAGGAGAAAAGTCCCTAAATTAATATTACCAGGAAGATGTACATATATAGAGACACAAATCTGCTGTGGGACAAATCTGCTTCAGGAATTTCTACCTTCATAACGGTCAAGTAGTTCCAAGCAAATTATATATACAAAAGGTATTTTCCAAGGCCTACAGTTATGCAAGGTATACTTCAGATTCTGCCAGAAACAGGATAATGCTAAACTTATAAACAGGCTGTAGCAATTCCACCTGGAATTTTGCCCATAAATTTGCTAAATACTCAGGCCTCATCCTTCTTTATTTAAGGGGAAAAGTATCCTATTCCTGTGGGAAAACCAAGCCAAGGTAGCCCTTCCTCAAAGTGCATGTGAAAGAAAAGATTTAGTAACATTGTCTCCAAAAAACTATAGGATTGTGCTAGTAGACAAAAGGAATGTCTACAAAAAGATTGGCTTCCTACTATGCAAATGACAGATTTGCACTGATTTTTGCTAAAAAACATTAAAGCTCAGCTTTCAAAGTCAATCTGCTCTGCCCATTGCCACTTTGAGTGGCAATGTGCTTTGGAGCTGAACTCTTAGACTGGAAAACAAAAGTGGTAGTCATTTATGCTTACATTATATATTTGTAGTTTAACTTCCTTCAGAAGACTAAAGGACCCAGTGCAGCACTGCTTGCAGACAACATTCTCCATTTCCATGTATTTTATGTGAACACTCAAGGACTGGTTTTAATTAATGTCTTTTTCTGTTTGCAGTGTGTTGGTTTAGGCTAGTTATTTTGCCTGCTCTGGCAAAACACATTTTTTTTTTATTTCTTGCCCATGTCTACCTTTGTTTCTTATCCAAGCAGAGAGTACTGAAGTGGCGTTTAAGAAAACCAATGCACTGGTTTATCAGCACCAGCTTCTTCCCTGTTTCTTTATTCAGTAAGCTCCAACTCTGGGTCATGTTAAGATGCCTGCAAAATTCCATGCAAAGTTTCTGTCATCTAGGATCTTCTACTGAGCAAACTCTTCATCGCTGTCTGGTTCTGTGGCTCCTCCATCTGAATGTTATGAGTGTTACTCTCTGAATCAGGAAGAAGTAATCAAGTATTTGCCTTGTACAGTGGTCAGCTCTGTACTGCAGCACCTCCAAATTTTCTGCTGATCTCAGCTCCTGGTTGGGCTGACACAGAAACGTCCTTTAGCATCACTATTCAACCTTCTCATAACTTACTTAATTCATATGCATACTTTGAAGGAATGAGAGAAGCCTGCACTGCTTCTCCTTCCCTTTTCCCTTGATCAAGTCCTTTTCCCTTAATAAAGCAAGCTGGAATTTTTGGGGCTGCTGACACCTGTGCTGTGAAACCACGCTACGTAAGATGGGGGCATCTCCAAAATATTTGGAGATATCCAAAACAGCAAGGAAGAGGAGAAAGACCTAGGAGTGCTGGTGGACAGCAGGATGTCCATGAGCCAGCAATGTGCCCTTGTGGCCAAGAAGGCCACAATGGCATCCTGGGGTGCATCAGGAAGAATGTGACCAGCTACAGACGTAGGCTACAAAGATGATTGTAGGGCTACAAAGATGATGAGGGGCCCGGAGCATCTCTCTTATGAGGAAGGGCTGAGAGGCTTGGGTCTTTTGAGTCTGGAGAAAAAAGACTGAGGGGGATCTGATCAGTGCTTATAAATACTTCAAGGGAGGGTGTCAAGAGGATGGGGCCGGTCTTTCTTCAGTGGTGCCCAGGGACAGGACAAGAGGAAATGGGCACAAACTTGTACATAAGAAGGTCCACCTAAACATGGGGAGGAACTTCTTTCCTGTGAGGGTGGCAGAGCCCTGGCAGAGGCTGCCCAGGGAGGTGGTGGAATCTCCTTCTCTGGAGACATTCAAACCCCACCTGGACACGTTCCTGTGCAACCTGCTCTGGGTGGACCTGCTTTGGCAGGGGGTTGGACTAGATGATCTCCAGAGGTCCCTTCCAACCCCATGTCATTCTGTGATTCTGTGAAAAGCATTCACAACTGGAGTTTCTTTACAGTATTAGGAAGACTGTAGGAGATCTGTTTGAACCACTGTAGGTAGGGAAGATTCTGCTCTCGGCTCATACTACTGGCAGAAGAGTAGAAAATAGTCTATACTGTATATGCTAATAATTTGTTAATCCTAAAGTCAGATTTTCCTAGTAGGACTCAAGACTGAGTATGTTTTAGAGTTAAAACTCTTTAGAAGAGGCCAGACCCTTATTTTGATGAAACTGTAACTACTAAGATACTGCATTTACTAAGAGCAAACTAAGATAAACTGTATTTACTAAGAGCAAGCAATAGTATGTTGTTCTCAGTGGGAAGTGCTGAGGTGAGAAACTGAGTGTGCTCACTGACTGATTCTTCATCTTTCAGATGCAAAACAAATTCAGCAATTATTGTGGCAAACCATGTGAGATTGTGGGCAAAAGCTACAGACACACTGCTTTTCCTAGCTAAAAAAGAGCAGCACTGAGATGACGGGCTACTGTTGTCCCCAGTTCTACTGTTTGCCCCCCTGGCTTAGAGAAGATTGAGAAAATTAAGTTCAAATTCAGTTCAACATACTGCATTTCAGTAAAAGAAAAAATATAACAGACAGTAAGTATTATGATGTTGTAGCTGTTCTACCTGCACACTGGGTACAATGAAGCTTGTGCAGAAATGCAGACTCCTTTTATGCGAGTGAGGGATCACTGAAAGTCTGTTTTCTGACTGAATACAGCAAGAGGAGTTTTTTGAAGGACAAGTAACTAAATGAAGAACAACCTATATGCTAAAAGTAATTTATGACAAAGTAAAGTACCTTTAATGATCTTTAAGGAAAATCTTTAGTAGCTGAATATTTTTTGTGATTAAAAATTGCAAATGATCATAATTAATTACCAATATCAGTTCTCTTCAGCATGTAATGCAGTATCAACTGTAACATACCTCCAAAGCTAACAACTTGTTCCCAATCAAATTCTTTAAAATACTCACAGATTATTCATTAAATCATAATTATTTGAATTTGAAACCATTTTGACTGTATTTGCAGCGGAAATAACTGCAGTAAATATGACACAATAAAAAACCACCCTTGTAGATACATCCCTATGTGATTATTGTATGGTTTTTGACTTGATCACGCAAGCCTAAATTTGGAAATTTGAGTAAGGAAAAATAAGACACAGATGCTGGGTTTGTGCCTGGAAGTCATTACTGGATAAAGGCATCACCTCACACAAGACTGAATACATATTTTTCCCCTTTTGCACTAACACTTCACATCACCAAAGAGCAGTGATATTGTCCTTGCACAAAGACCTCTGGATGGCAGGGATGTTGTAACAATACAAAATGGGTATTTACTCCCTCTAAAGGCTCAAAAACATAAGCAAGAATTAACAGTTCTGTCAGGGGAACTCTAATTTGAAAAATTTTTCAGCAAACTTTTTGTAGGCCTACCTGGAGTGTTCCACCAAGGCAAGCCCTAGGGAAAGGGAAGACATTACTTTACCGACAGAAGATCTCTGACAACTACTGCCAAAGAAGAGTTCCCCATCACTCCCTTTAAAACATCTGTAAATTATGAAGTACAACTCAACCCCTGAACAGCAAAGTCAGTGCCTGTTTTCTGAAGGTAGGAATTTGTAAACAGTGACAGGATTAATGATTAGGCAATATTATTACAGTGGCTATGTTGAAAAAACATGAATCAGAAGTGACTGAGTTAATACTAGAGTACTGAATTGAAAGTCACAGAACAAAACAGAACATAAACAAACCCAAAACTGTATGTACACACTTAGGAAATTTATCTCAGGACTGAATTCTAATAGAATTTCTTATCACTGACTGCTGCCTAAAACTAATGGCAATTTTGTTTGGAAGCAAACATTACGTTGTTTATTAAAGTCTGTATTTCTCAGTATTTTATGCTGGCTAGGTCTGTCTGTTGTAGTTATTTGAGGAAGGCATGCCAAGACCTGGAAACGCCTCTGCTTTTAATAAACAAAGCTTCATATTTTACTAATGGGTATTTTCAGCTAATGGGAATAATGTAGTTGAGAGCTGTATTGTTGAGGGGAAGCAAAACTGAATCAATGACACCACAGCTGTCAGGGGGCTGTGCAGGAAGAATCTGGCAGGACAAATTAAGTCTTCAGTTTTAACAGTTGTGTGCATCTACATATAGTATTATCTCATCAGTATCATTGCCTTTAGCAAGTTTGTCCAAATTTATCTCATTTGAATTTAGGAAGAAATTCTAACAATGGAAAAGGAATAGATTAGTGCTCACTTGGTCTTAGCTATGTTGGTTATTTAAGACCAAGAAGTATAAAATGCAAATTCCTATTATAACACTCAAGAAATGCTTAATGTGCCTTCATGCTAATGTATCTGCTGAGTAAGGACATGTCATTTTTATTAACTTACCAAAGAGAGGAAAAAAAACAAAGTGCTCATCATGCTGCAAAGTGCTTTTGTTCATGACCATCATCATCATCATCATCATCAAGGAATTCTTATTAAAAACAAACCCCCTTTATTTAAAAAGTAACACACCTGAATAAAGCTGAACTCTCTCCAGTTTAAGGTACTGTTTACTGAAGGGATGGAAGTTACTGCCAGCAAAGAAAGTAATCCAAGGCTCATTATTCCAAAGGAGATATACATTTCAATTCGCCACACTTCTTCCTCATTCCAAGAATTTTCAACGTTTGTATGAACCTGATGAAAGGGTAGAAAGGAAGCACTTTATTCTACGGAATATTTAAAATATCAACAAAAGTTATTTTGCTAAGTAAATATCTACAGTCATAGGACAACTATAAAATGGGGTCAAATATTTCATAGGTTTCCTCATGTCTTGGAGAAAAATAACTATTTCCTTACTGCTGGTATTGGCTCTTGTTTGATTAAAAATATGTTAAACATGGAAACTTAAATGAGTTGTTAAAAGAAAATGTAACATTATATTGTATTTGTTACAATTATGTTATAAAACCAGATAAATCTGCGCATTCCTGTATGCTGTAGAAAATTAGCTGTGTTCTTCAGACCCTGGAAACTTAAATTCTGTAACATAAATTGAGTAAACCTGTAATCTGTTTTTAGTTTGTTACATTTAGAAATAATTTAGCATAATTTCCTGGTTTTGCTTCAGCTCCCTATGCTGAGTCCAAGTTATTTTGCCTCTTTCACTGTTAACACCATACATCCAAGATATCTCTTGTTGGAGAGCTGTACCAGAAAAGAGAAACAACTCAGGTCCTTAACAATTAAAAGGCTTGGATATTCAATTATTTCTCCATTTTCAGGTGAACTACTGTGATATGTCATGTCTGAAAAGAGGTTCAAGTGAGAGTTTTACAGTATTATTACAGTATTATTACAGTATTATTACAACCAAGATAATTTCTTAGTAAAACCATCAGTGGGTCTTTTACGAAGTGTGAACAATTACAGTTTCTTGCTGCCTTTTATTGTTTGGCTCTTCCTGCTTTTCTCTTAAGGCTGATTTTTCATGCTAGCCCTTTTAGAATTTATGGACCCAGTCCCTGTTAATTTGTTCCATGTGATTTGATCTCCTTAGTTTTATTTTTTTTCTGTTCCCCAACGTCTCTATTTCCTGCAGATTTTATGTGCTGAATGGCAATGCTGCTTTTCTGTCACTTCAAAGGTGACAATAAGCTACCTCACTAATGCACAGGAGCATCAGACCCTCTTCTAAAGGATGACGGATTTGTCAGAGGTGGTTTCAGGGTTATGCAAGACCAATTGCTCCTGGGAACTGTAAATCAATTTCTATTGCTGGTAATAGATGATGTTCACAGATATTTTTTTTAAAGAATAAAATTTTTTTACCACTGGTCCAAAATATTACAAAGTAACAGCATTTTTACTTTGTAAACATCTGTAAGCATTATTACAGAATCTACCCTTATACTTTTTTCACACTTGTAAATGCACTTATGATATACATAATTCCCCCATATGTTAAGTATACATAGTATACATACCTCAGAAACTCAGAATTTTCTTGCTGTTGCTTTTATCCTGTCTATCCTACATTCTCCTTGTGTATGTTACTATCAGGGATTTAAGTAGGACACATCCTCGATTCCCCCTACCACAGAAACTTGACTGCAGCTTGACCCACGAGGTGAGCACAATGCACAGATGTTTCTTTTAGTCTCCCTTCTTACTCAGCATTAGCTAGACATAAGATAACCCCTAACATTCCCTGCTGAAAACAGTGGAATAGATTAAGAAAACGTATAATGCATTCACGAGCCACATGCATACAGCCAAGGCATTTTTGGCTTACTGAACCAAAAGTTGTCTTACCTGTTGATATGCCATGTTGAGGAATAAGTATCGCTCCGACCTCCTCATAGGTAAGCAGAGGCTGTACACCACGTGCACCGCTGCAAAGAAAAAACTGAGCAGGCCAAGCTGCTTTCGACACTGCAGCCAGTTGTCCAGCCAAGGTGGAAACCGCCTGTACTTGGTACCATAGTAAAGCTGATAAGCTGCTGCAATAAGTCCAGATAAATACACTAGAGAAAGCAAAGTGATGGCAACAACCGGCAGAGTCTTGTTCACAATCTCAATGGGGATCTTGTAAAAGTCACTCTGCTGGTTTCTCGTGTATGGATGGATTACATCCCTGACGAAGGAGTAGATGAAGAAAAACGTTGCCAGGCTAATGGCAATCACCACAGGCCCCTTCCACAGTGTGAACAGTCGCAGAGGTAAATTTTCAATCTCCCTTGAAGATGACAATGCCCCAAAATCAATAGGAATGAAACTGAGCTGACGGGCAAGCTCAATAACTTGATGGCGAGCCTGAACGTTGTTACCGCATATATAGACCTGTTGAGAAAGTCAGGTAAATTGTGTAGTCAGAGTCAAAGGTAAAAAAAGAAACCCGAGCACAAAAACCCCTTAAGGGCCTCCAGGACAAAACTGCAGCACTACTGCTAAAACTGTACACTTCCCCCAATTTTATATCATGATGATGAGAATAAAACCATCTACAAATCCAGCCAAAGTGAAAAGAGAAATGCCAATTTAGCAACAGAGTAACCAAACAAAAATGGCTTTTTCTTGGAGTTAATAATGTGGCATGCCCTAGTAACCCCCCCCCCCCCGAAATGTCTACAGGACTGAACTTGAAAAAATGGCTAAAAGCACTTCAGAAAACTAAGTATCTCAAAAGTACAGGAATCTTGAATGATGACCATAAAACAGCTGTACCATAAACAGAATGCAAAGCAGAGAAGTGTGTCATCTCCCCATTTATAACAATTTTAGCTTAATTTCACACTCCAGATTTACACAAAAATTGAATCTTCAATAGACAAAAAACAGTAGCCAAATAAAAGCTACTAGTTTATTAGAGTGAAAGAAATGCACTGCTACAAAGTACTTCAGAATTTACAGTGGGCTATAGTTTGCCCAACACTGCCGATCATCTGAACAAACATGATCAGTTTTGACAGAAGTTAACTACTTATAGCACAGTGCTATTATGAAAGGGGATAGAAATAGTATGGTGAGGTTAATTTTAAAATTATGCTAATTCTGTATCAGTTCCCTTCCAATTAAAATCTACCTGAAGTGCCAGAAAACTCAATTTAGTCTCCAGTAGTTCATGTTACACCAGTCATTTCTCATGCATTTCTCAGAGTCCATGAAGTTGTGAAGGACTGGTTTCTTGCATAGGCTTAAATCCTTTGTATCACTTCAGCAAAGCATAAAAAACATAAATTTGCCTTTTCTTCATGCAGGATGGATTTGGGGGACATACTGGGAAGGAATTTGAACATGATGTTCCCAAGCAGTCCGGCATCAAATGAGTGATAAATGAGAAACAAATGTGCCTCCTTCTGTTTCCTTATATTTATGATCTTGGGGCATTTGAAAAGCTAGATATTTTTTTTCATTCCCTTTGCTGTTACATTGAATGCAAGCATTTTTAGAACAGCTGACTCCTGAGCCCTGGGATCAGGACCTGAGATTTCTGTGCACCTCTTTCATTAGTTCTCTCTATGTAAACGAATACTGAAACTAAAAATATACTAGGAAAGACTGTCTCTATTCTTGTATAGGGCATAAGTATAAAAATTAACATATTTCCTGTAGAAGACATTAAGACCCACCTCTCCTCCTCTGCTTGTAGTCATCTAAAGGTCAGTTGTCTAGGCTAAGCTAGTATGCACATTTCCTCTGCAATCTTTAAAGATAAACAGGCATCCCAGGGGACAGTCTGGACCACTTACTCTGTATGCCTTACAGTGGGGTGAACTAGACTCTGAAAGTTTTGTTGGCTACTAAAACTTAAACTAAAGGCCCAACATTTTAGGTAGTCAGGCAGCATGAATCCCATGAGTTCTGGCTGCTTACATGCAGTTCCTGTCATTTTCATCTTACAAACAAGTTCAATTAATTAGTCGAATTAATACAAATATAACGTTTACCTGTCTGCTGGCATCCTTTGGTCCTAACTGCAGTGCCCATGCTGAAACAACATTAAATCCTTTGACAACAAGGGAATCTGGGAAAAGTGATGCCAAATACTCTGCATTGGAGTCCGGATATTGGTCTACTCTTGTATTATTGCTGACATCAACCAGAATTTTACCAGCGAGTAAATGCTTGAGGTCCCACAAAGAGGCATAATGTTCTCTGTGTATGGCTACAAAAATTATGTTTGTTTTTGCTACTGCATCTTCATGGTGAGTGACATCAACCACATGGGGAAACAATTCAGCAGCAAGTTTAGGGTTTCTGCTTCCTATGACCACATGGTACCCGCATCTGATCAGCCTAATTGTCAATGATTTAGCAAAGTCTCCACTTCCAATGATGCCTATTGTGACCTTACTGGCATCCTTGATGCCATTGGCAACATTTGGTAGAAAAGTTTCATTTGGGTTCTTAGGACTTCTCATCATAGAGATTGATTCCATACTTCCAAGACACCAAACCTACAGTGACTTCTTCTGGGGAGAAAAAAAAAGAAAAGATGAAAGTAACAGAAGGAAAAATGCATCATCATACAATTTTGCCAGACATCAGAATCCATAAACATCTCCGAGAGCAAAATATGTGCTTCTAAGTTTCATGTTATATTTTCTCCTTAGTAAAGTACGTATGTGCTAATCAATTTTGTCTTGCACTAATACAATGAGAAACATAAAATACTTCAAGCATTTCAATCATACAGTTACAGAAGTAAATGGCATTTTTTCCATCTTTTTCTATTCCCTATATTCCACTGTCCTGCAATACCACAAGATAACCTTGTATTCCTGAAACTAATGGTCAATGGAATAATGAGAATAAACATGTAAGGGAAACTGGGTAATTATGGAAAATACTAGACGGTAAAGACAGCTGGCCTCTGGCTGGTGCAAGGATGGTGGGTTCATGGAAGCTGAATTTCATTAAAAGCTTATGCAGGTTATTATCATGGTATCCTAAATTGGCCAGGTAGGAAGGGATGCAAAAGTCTCAAAGCTGTGAATGTCATGTCAACCACCATGACACTGACATCTATCTGACATACTCACCTGTCAGCCTGGGAAATGGCTGGCACACATGGATCCCATGCCAGAGATGAGGGAAATTTATCAAGACCTATTCATGAGACCACTAATGACACTGCATAGTCTGGCCATGCATGTGTATGTGCGCAGGTAAAGGATTCAAGGCCGTGGGTCACAAATATGTCTAACAATTTTTCTCACCAGGCAGAACAGATAAATCCTGGAGACCAACACATGGGACATCGTTCCACAAAAAGCTAATGGCAGGGAGATATAGATTTCATGCAATAATAAAAGAGAGGGGAGTTTTAGGACTCAAATTCAGTGCAGTAAGGTAGGTTTTGAAGAAGAACAGAGGCTAAGGCTCACGGAAAATTAAAAGACACACTGCTAGTGCTTTGGAGAGAAGAGGTCACAGAACTGCAGTAAAGCTGTAACAAAGACAAAAAGACATTAAAAACCAATGAAACAGCTCCCCGGGGGGAAGTCTTCACATGAAACCACAGCTATGACATAAATGGTTCTGTACTGCAGAACACAAATGAGTTCTGAAATGAAGGAAGCAATGAGGAAAGGCAGGCTACGAAGGAGCAAAGAAAAACCACTAGGTTGCTGTCTTGGGAGCAATCAACAGCAGACCACATAGAAAGGAGGGGCTGAATGAACCTCTTTCTGAGCCATCATCCAAGAGCTGATATGATGGTAACTACCTACCAGTGAGGGACTTCACCCAGCCATCAGCTAGGAATACAGTATGTGGTGAAGAACCTGCTGCAATTAAAAGTAGCTTTGTGTTTGAGAAATTGGAGGAAGCTACTGGAAGAATGTGCAGTTTTCATTTTTTCATTTCAGCTTTGACTAGAAGGGAAGAACTCACTGAAACTGGACTGAGACTCTAAAGACAGAAAGTAATATGTGAAAGTGACCACAAAATCAGGATTCTAAGAAAAGATTCTAACAGTGAATCTTCCTGGCAGAGGCAGACCACGTAGATTTTGATGCTTGCACTGAAAAAACATTGACTTTTTTCTTACCACATGACCCGAAACATATCTAACACATGACCAAAGTACCAGTATTTCCGGTACCATGATGGGTTCACAACCAGGAACATAAGGAGACTAGCTGTATTTTGATCAGATAAGAAGCAGACATCAGCTGGATATGACGGAGTGTGCTTTCACCATGTGATCACAGAGGCCCATTTCAGTTCATGCCATGAAGGTGCTGCAAAACTCCGGGAGAAATGGAACCGTCACGAGGAAATGGGCTACCAGTACCATTTAACTATACTGCACCAGACTGCCAGTTTTTGTCCAAAGGATACTCAGGAGAGTGAGCATCAAGGATCTGCACATCATTAATTGCTCTGGTGAGCTGAATTTGGCCCACTAGCCAAAGTTTCTCACTGCCTGTTCTACGGAAAGTAAGAGTGTGAGGAACAGAATAAAACTAACACGACTTCATAAAGAACACCCCAGGGAACAGGCAGATATGACTCTTGGGCAAATAATCTAAGAGATGGAAGAGATCAGAGAGCTAGCAGTTGCTGAAACAAACTATATTAAATACACAATAGCAATTCAGAGGAAAGAAGAGTGTAGAAGACTGTTTTGACTGCATCAGGAGAGCTTTAATCACCTGAAAAATAACAAAAAAAGTGGGGAAAAAAAGGGATGTGTGTACATGGCTAAGGAACAGTACAACAGTACTATAATGTAGAGATAAAATCAGATCAGCAATGGTACAGAAATGTCTTCTTTATTTCAGCCCTCACTAGAAAGGTTAATTGTGAATAGATACTTAATGAAAAACCTTTTAGAGGGAGACAGAAGGTGAGGTCAGAGGAAAAAGGTAAGTTAAAAGTAAAGGATAAAGTTAAAGATAAGATAAAGATTTTCAAGTCAGCAGACACTTATGAAATTCATCCTTGATGGTTAAAATGCTGATTGAAGAGACACCTTGAGAACTCAGAGAGGACGCGAGAGGCAGACTAGCATACACCTCTAAAAGAGGGGAGGAGGAGGCCTGAGGAAAGCAAAGACTTGTTAGCTGAACTTCAGCCTCTGGACAGATTTTCATGAAGTTACTGGGCAATAAATTTGCAAATAGTTAGATGGGAAGCAGATGATAAGTAGCCAAGGTAGGTTGCTCAGGAACAGACTACAACAAAACCAACCTTCTTTTACAAAATCTGGCTTCAGAGATATGAAAAAAAAAATAGTAGGAGCGATATAAATTTGACATTTGCCCTTAGATAAGCTAAGAAAACACTGCGGAGCTCTGTCAGCCAGAAGGTGACACAGATGCGAAAAACAGCTCTTGGAAAAGTAACTACAGGAGGAGAAAAACGGGCAAAAGGCAGGCGCTCGCTGGATCTGCCACCACCCGCCGGAGCGGGCACTCCCGGGCCGCGGGCTGAGGCAGCGCTCCCCGACCCACACCCCCGTGACAGGAGCGGGGACCCCGCTGCCCGCCCGCTCGCCGCCGCCGCCGGC